TAGTCAATGACTATAGTAATCTATTATTTGATAAACCCAAAGACCCCAGCTTCTGGGATAAGAACCCACTCTTTGAAAAAAACTGCTGGGAAAACTGGAAAAGAGTATGGCAGAAACTAGGCATAGACCCAAATCTCACATTACCAAAATAAAGTCAAAATGGTTCATGACTTAGATATAAAGGCTGATACCATAAGTAAACTGGGAGAACAAGGAATAGTTTACCTATCAGATCTATGGAGAACAGAAGAATTCATGACCAAACAGGAGATAGAGAACATTAGAAAAGCAAAATGGATAATTTTGATTACATTAAATTGAAAAGTTTTTGCACAAACAAAGCCAATGCAACTAAAATTAGAAGGAAGGTAGAAAATTGGGAAAGAATTTTTACAACCAGTTTCTATGATAAAGGCCCCATTTCTAAAATATATAGAGAATTAAGACAAATTTATAAGAACACAAGCCATTCCCCAATTGATAAATGGTCAGAGGATGCTCTAAATCGTTATTGATTAGAGAAATGCAAATCAAAACAACTCTGAGGTACCACATCACATGTATCAGATTGACCAACACGACAAAACAGGAAAATCATAAATGTTGGAGATGTGGGAAAATGGGAACACTAATACATTGTTGGTGGAGTTGTGAAATGATCCAAGTATTTTGGAGAACAATTTGGAACTATGCCCCAAAGGCTACAAAACTGTGCATACCCTTTGATCCAGCAATAGCACTTCTAGGGCTATATCCCAAAGAGATCAAACAAGTGGGAAAAGACCCACATGTACAAAAATATTCATAGCAGCTCTTTTTGTGGTGGCAAAGAATTGGAAATTGAGAGGATGCCCATCCATTGGGAATGGCTGAGCAAGTTGTGGTATATGAATGTAATGGAATACTATTGTGCTATAAGAAATGATGAACAGGCTGACTTCAGAAAAACCTGGAAAGACTTATATGGTCTGATGCTGAGTGAAGTGAGCAGAACCAAGAGGACTTTGTACACAATAACAGCCACGTTATGCAGTGACTAAGATTGTTAAACTGAACTCTTTTCAGCATTATGAGGAACTAAGACATCTCCAGAACCTTGGGATGGAAAATGCTGTCCACATCAAAGAAAGAACTACAGAAGTTGAATCGCTACCACTTATTTTTACTTTCTGTTGAGTTTTGTTTCATTTTTCTGATAGTTCTTCCTATTGGTTTTAATTTTTACTTACAACTTCACTAATGTGAAAATATGTTTAATGGGTATGTAAATGTACAGCCTGTATCAGATTGTGCGCCATTGGGGAGAGTGGGGGGAGGAAGGGGAGAAAAATTTTCAACTCAAAAGCATGTGGAAGTGATTCTTATAAATCAAAATAAATTAATAAAATTAAAAAAATATTTGGTCGTATCTCATACCATCCTCATTTTAAGAATAGTGCAAAATAAGTACAGAATGAAGCAAGCTCCCAGTAAGAAAAATTTAACGTCTTTTGTATTTAGAAATCATTCTGAAATAACACATTGTGACTATAATCTGACTGTATTTTGTAGTAATGATGAAGTTAACATAAGGAATTTGATGACAGTTTTTGTGTAAAACTTTTGGAAAGAAAGGTAAACTAGGAAACACTTGGTAGACTATAATGGTTATAACCTGTTTGCAACTATATAGGCAGTTCAGAAGTATTCCACAAACAAGGGCTTTAAAAATATTTTAAATCTTTATTTTAAAAAAGATTCTGTTTCAAAAATTATCACAACTACAAACCTTGTACTGATAGAAAAACAAGATTTGTTTTTAATAATTAATAATTTTCCCTAGAAAACAGACACAGGATATTCTGATAAAAAAATTTTCAGAAATAAATTGGTAGAAAAAGGGGAATTTATTAAAGTGCTAACAAAATTCAGGTAAAGAAAGGTAGGTTTTCTGATTGTGAATATATACTGTATCTGGAGTTATTAAACATTTCATATGTTTAATCTTAGGGAAATGTTACTCTACTAGAATCCTAAAATGTGTTGTAGAGTATTCATATAGATAAACGAGTAAGGAAATTTTGGACCTGGCTATCATGGCATATTTTTACCAGAGGCATACTTATATCAAAATATGAAAATAGTAGAAATTAATAAAAGTTATTGAAGATTCACAAAAAGTGAAAACCTCTCAAATGACGAAGAAGATATTTAAGCAAAACCTACTGATAACGTATGCAACATTGTGTCTTAATTCCTATAGTCTATTTTTTTCATAGACTAAAGGAGATATATGTGCCATTATCTAGTCTCTAAAATGATTATTTTATTTTTAAAATTGCAGAGTTTGACATCTTTTAGTGATCACATATTTTAAATTGTCATTTTGCATTTTTTCCTTGTGGCCTTAATTATTTCCCTTTACATATATAAATCTTGGAGTTCTTTTTTCCCCCAAATTCTTTATAATTTGATATTTAAAGCCTTTTATAACCTGGCCTCTCTAATCATTCAGTTTGTCAGTCCCCTCCCTGTGCTCTTCAGTCATTAACATCGGCCTGTTCTTTGGTCAGTACATTCATTCTTCTGACTCTTGGCATTTTCTCTCTGTGTTCTCCAGGTTTGGCATGCTTTCTGCATCTATAACCCTAGTTTTCTTCAAATCCCTCCTAAAATCTCACCTCCCACAAGAGACCTTTCCTGATCCTTCTTAATTTCTACTGCCTTCCCACTAGTCATTATTTTCAAATTTTTCCAATATATAAATTATTTGCAAGTTACTTCTGCCTTTAGACTACAAGTTTTTGAGAGAAAGGATGTCTTTTACCTTTCTTTGCATTCTTAGTTCTTAGCATAATACCTAGCAAATAATAGGTGTTTAATAAATGTTTATTGATTGACAATTTATCTCACCTGCAGTTACATAGCTTCATCATCTACTTTCTTGATTCTGAAAATTTTGTACCACTTAATTACTCCCTCCTTCTAATTATTTTCTCTCTTTTTTCTTTTTTTACCTTTCATGGGACTCTGTCATGATTCTTCTATGCCTAATTCTCTTATTACCTTTCTTGCTATTTCCCCTATCCTTCTGACTATACTACTTTGTTGATTCATCATTTCCCTAATTGTTGTTATTCTCCATATTGCTGTCCTAGACTCTCCTCTTTTTCTTCCAGCACTTTTCTCTTATAGTGATGGACTGTGAATCAGGAATATCTCAGCTTGATTATATTAATAGATGAAGAAAATATCTCTTTTTAAATTTATTTTGATTTTTAACAATCACTTCCATAAGCTTTTGAGTTTTAAATTTTTCTCCCCCTCCCTCTTCACCTCCTTCCCCGAGATGGCGTGCAGTTTGATATAGGCTATACATATATATTCCTATTAAACATATTTTCACACTAGTGATGTTATAAGGAATAATTAGAACCAATAGGAAGAACCACCAGAAAGAGGAAACAAAACACAACAGAAAGAAAAAAATAGCAAATAGTATGCTTCAATCTGCATCAAACTCCATAGTTCTTTCTTTGGATGTGGATAGCACTTTCCATCACGAGGCCTTTGGAGATGTCTTAGATCCTTGCACTGATGAGAAGGGCTAAGTCTATCAATATTAGTCATCGCACAACGTGGCTGTTAACTGTTAAACACTCAAATCAACTACAGAGGACCTATGAAGGAGTAAGAAGTAACAAATAATAGTATGTATAGTATAGTTTTACATATGTTTATAAATCTATCAAATGGTGTCCTTCTCTAGTGCAGAGTAGGAAGGAGGGAAGGAGACAGTTTGGAACTTAAATGTAACAAGAAAATAACAATTTATTATTAATAGATTTGATATTATGAAAACCTCTCAAATGACAAATACATAATCTATTCGGTGAAGATTGAATTGGAATGGTGAGATGTAAAATGGTAAGACCAATTGAAAGGCTATAGAAAGATGATAAGAGATTTATCTATGTAGTTTAAAAGAATAGAAGAGATTGGAGAGAAGTGAAAATGATTTAGAAGGTGATTGTGCATGTGGAATATATGAGTAGGAATTGAGAATTGACACCAAGGTTGCACATAAGTGATAGGAAAGCTGAGGATAGGTGGGTTCTGTGTTGTGGTAATATTCAGTTTATAGGCTAACTAGTTCTAAATGTCCATTACTGGGGCATCACACTGGGGCATAAGAATTCAGCAGAGCTAGGTGGAATGCTGGGCCTACAGACAGGAAGACCTGAGTTCAAATCCAGCATTAAATAGTTACTCTCTTTGTGACTCTGGGCAAGTCACTTAGCTTGACTTCCTTAATTTCCTTATCTGCAAAATGTGCATAATAAGTTATTTCCTAGAGTTGTTTTGAGGATCAGATGAGATATTTGTAAAGTGCTCAGCACAATGTGTTGAATATAGTAGATTTTATATAAATACTAGCGATGACAATGATAATGATGATGATAGCTAGCCAAGATATAGTAGTGTGGATTTACGTTTTATTCGTAAAGATCAAAGTATGAGAAAAAGTAACAGAGGAAAGGAAGTTTACCTAAATCAGTAATTGTGAAAAATAGTAATGAAAGCCATTGCTGGTAAAAGGGTGGGAAGTGTTTAGAAAGAATGGTATTAAATAAGTTATGTAATCATAAAGAAAAAAATTGTAAAGTGAATTAATGATTCCAAATAAAAACGTTCTAGTATTCTAGAGTCATCTCACAATTAGATTTTCCAGGTTCTAACCTTGATCTAGACACAGTTGTGCATCTGCTGTTTTTCCTACTCCTAAACTTTTATCAACTTTTCCTGTATAGGCAACCCTTGTCTTGTATTTGATATATTTCTCTAATAAGTATTGAGTCACAAGTAATAAGATCTTTTTAATGTCAATAGTTTTACCTCCCTCCAAATCTATTAAACATTTATGATATATTTAGATTCTTGTTGAAACTCTAGACCGTGGTATTCATGACTTTCTCTAGTGAAAAAATTTGAACATTTTAAACTTTAACTTACATGCCTTTTATTATCAGGAACAGGAAGTACTAGAGAAGGAGGAAGAGGAAAAGCAGGAACAAAACTCTTCCAGGATTTTCAAATATTAAGCAGAATTTGGACTCATCCATGGTGCTTACAGCTGGACTATATTAGCAAAGAAAACAAGGTAAATTAGATATTCATACTTAAGTATCTATTTAGTAGTCTGATTTCATTCCAACTCATTTTCTCCAGTGTTTCTCCCTGTATCATCCTCACTATTTATTTATAGTTTTCAGCATTTTGAGTTCCAAATTTTCTTCCAATCTCTTCCCTCTCCTCCCCAAGACACTGTGCAGTTTGATAGAGGCTTATACATTTATATTGAACCTATTTTCACATTAGTCATGTTGTAAAGAAGAATTAGAAACAACGTCATCCTCACTCTTTTAATGATCTTCATTCTCTCCCTGTCTCCTGATGCTTTCCTATTCCATATAAACATGTCTGTGTTTCCCCATTCTCAAAAAATGTGCCTGATCTATCTATTCCTGCCAGGTATTGTCACATCCTTTCCTTTCGCAGCAAAATTTCTCGAGAGAGCTGCCTACAATAGGTCCTTCCTACCTTCTTGCTAACTTTTCTTAACTCTGTATAATCTGGTCTTTCACTATTCAGCCAAAACTTCTTTCTATGAAATTACTAAGTCTCTTAATTGTCAAACTTAATGGTCTTTTCTTAAACTTCAATCTTTGTGACCCTTCTGTAGTGTTGCCCAAGACTCTTGATTACCTGTTTCCCATATTAGTCTCACTTCTGAGTTTTCAGTATCACCAGTTGCCTACTGGACTTTTGATACTAATTAACCTGGAAATTTTTCAAATTCATCATGTCTGAAACCAGTCTTACTTTTTTTGGACTGCCACTATTGAAAGTATCAATATTTTTACTTTTGGTTTCCAGGTAACACTGGCATCAACTTTAGCTCTTAATTATCCTCCATACTATGTAGATGTCAAATGTTGGCATATCTGCATTCCAAATACCTTTTACATTTAACATTTCAATTCAGGCCATCATCACCAATATCGTATTTTACCTAACAATATGTCTAACTAAATTACTGCCCCATTCATGAAACTCAAGTAGTTCTCTGTTTTCCCTAGAATCAAATGTATACTACACTATTTGATGTTTAAATTCCTTATAAACAAGTCTAATGTATTTTCCATGTTCATATATTATAATTCTTATACACACTGAGTTTCAAGAAAGTCTTCTTTCTTACCATTACATCTTTAACCCCTGTACTTTTGCACTGCATACACATGTCTAGAATGTACTGATTTCATCCACAAAAATCCTCACTTCTTCCTTTCAAAACCTTATATTCAAAGTCTTTATTCCCAAGTTACTAGCATGTTACTTCTTCAACTGTGTAATATTTGACTGCGAATCTACATGCATAAATGTTATTTCTGCACCATAGTCCAACATCTATTTGAAAAAGAGGGCAGTATAGTTTTAGTACATTTCAGTATAATTCATTATGAGATTTGTGGAGTTAAGAGCTGGCTATTGCATTGATCAGGATTTTTAAGTCTTCCAAAGTTGTCTAATTTACCTCTTTGTATAAATTGTTCTTATATCACTCAGTTTAGTTCTCCCAAGTTTCTCTAAACATTTTAGAATATTTCTTGTGAATAATCATTTGAAAAGTAGGGGTTATGCAAAGTTTATTTTCATCAGCTTACTCCTTACCTGTAATACTTTTTATTTGTTGGGCTGTTTCCTCAGCTTGTGCTTACATTTTAGAGTTGAGCCTCTACATAGTGTTTATTATTAACAGTCAGCCAACATAGTTGTAGGAAAGCCATTTGCTATGATGGTATAGCATAGTAATTAAAACAAATAACCCTCTACAATTCCAGGGCCATATTTTACGCATAGTGATGGTTACAGAGTAGGCTCAAATCTGGTTGCAATGGTAATGAGACACATGTAGGGAAGAACAAATGTTGCCCAAGTAAGTTAAAAATTCCGATATTCATATAATAAATCCCCCATACAGGAGCAGGTTGTTCAGCTAGTCTACTTGCTAATGCATTAAAACTTGATTGCATTTTATGGTATTAGTCTTGTCTGGGGCTTGGGTAAAAAAGTCAGATAGTACTAATCCCTTCTTTACACAGGTTATCAGAACATAGCAAATAATATCTTCTAATTTTTAGGAAGTATAAGAAGTACAGTTAATGCAGTGTAATTATGCATGAAGTACTAGTAGTAATATTTATATGACAACTTATGGTTTGCAGAGCACACATACATTACTGCACATGTATGACCACCGTTTTAAACTTAGACTAGCTCTTACGAGATTAGTGCCACTGATATGATTGCTCCCATCTTACAGAAGAAAACTGAAGTTCACAGACATTAAGTTAATTGCACAGGATTACACATTGGAGAATGGAAGCGTGGTATTGCGGTAAAGCACAGCAACCATGTCTTTTCAAATTTTGGAGTTGCCACTTGTATGATTTTTCAAAAGTCTGAGTTTAGACTAAATGATGTCTAAGGATCTTTTTAGCTCTTATTCAATGATCCTAAGTGTTGAAGGTATAGTGTAGAATGAATACTTCCTGATTCCACGGCCCATAATCTATACTGTCCCTTATGTAGATGGGGGTTAGAGACTGAAACTAATGCAAAGGCCTTAAGCACTTTACACTAAGAGAAATAAGCAAAAAAAAAAAATCTTTTAACATTTTTGATAAATGTAATGATTAGCAAATTTTTTTAATTATTTTTTTTTTTCAGGGGTATTTTGAGGAAGACAGGATGAATGAATTCATACCATCAGATTCTGATGAAACCTCACTGAGTTTAAGTTCAGATGATTATCCTAAGTAAATAGAATCTTTCTTTGTATAAATATGCTGTGTATTTTTTCATTTCAAACTTCCATAAATAGTAATAGTAATGTAATAAAATTAAAAATAGCTATCATTTTCATGTAATAGCTTATCATATTAAATTTTGCTCTAACATTTATTAGTTAGGAAAGAAGATCCGCATATGTGTATATTCTCACTATTATAGTTCACAAATTGTCATGTATTATACACATAATATATGTATGTACATATGCATACATACACATATATACATTTATATATACTGATACTCATATGCATATAGATCATAGAATTTGCACTTAGAAGTTGAAGATATCTTGATTGTTTCCTTTTTTGTTTTTCTAGTCTCCTTATTTTTCTTGGAATTTTAAAAATTAACAATTGAAGGAAATCAGAGAACTTACAGAAGAGTAGTAATAATGACTTAATATTTTTAAACTTTTTAACATTTTTCAACCTATGTTCTTTTGAATCTATAAAATATTGTATTAAAGTTTAAATTTTCTGTAAAATGAGCAGTGCCCCATTTAAGTCCTTTACAAAGCTAAAATTTGTGCATTTTCCAGAAATATATATTTTCTGAATTAAAATATCAGTATTTTACCAGAAAAATATTTATTTTAAATTTAAATATTCATTTTAAACTTAATTTTTCTAAAAAGGCTGCCCTGCTTATTTGGGATGATGTAATGTTAAATAAGCCAAACTTTTTTTTTGATAGGATCATGGAAAAATCTAGCATTTAAACCTGGAAGGAAATATAGGAACATTTCTGTAATTTTACATGAGAAATTTTTTTGGTTTACTTTATAATTAGCCCTATATTACAGATTCAAATTTTTTTTAAATTCATAATCTTTTCTAGGAAAAAAAAGTTCAAAGGGAAAAAAAGAACTAGCTCAGGTGGACATGAGGATGCAGAAGTAATTAAAGTATGGAATTCAAGATCCAGAGGTGGTGGTGAAGGGCATAAGGATGAGCTGGCCAGCATTTCATCTGTGATGGTAAAAAAAGAAAAAAGTGAGTCTAATGTAGAAGTAAACTTTTGTATTTATGTAAGGATCAAAAAATATTGGTAATATGATATCAGCTATTTACTTAGGGTTAGGTGAATTTCTTGGCAGGTGAAGCAGTGGGTTTATTATTGACAAAATGTAAAGTCACATTACAGTTTACATTAAGATTTCATCATTTCAGAACCTACTAAGTCTGTAGTTTAGATCATTGAGATTGAGTAGGGTATACTTTGACCTTCAATTTAAAAAACAGATTTATTTTCTATGTAAGTTGTGTAAAGATTTAATTAAAGATTTTTTAAATGTTAATATTTTAATACCCTTAGTAGTATTTATTTACCCAGCATCTATTAATGAAATTATTTAGCCTGTTAATTTTTAAAAGGATTAGAATACCATTTTGCTTAGACCTTATTAGATTATTCCACATTCTTTGAGCTTAAAAGTAACAAAACTTCATTTCTGTTGTGTATTTATATATAATGTACATTAATATAGGATATATTTTTTCCTGTATTTTACTTTCTAAAACATAGAGCTTCTTAGGTAATACGTAAGCTAATGTTTCTAGAAAGTTCAGTGGGAAAAACAAATGAATAAACTAAATCACACGAAGGACCATCATAAAGGCTTCTAGCAATTAAATTGAAAAGCATGTAATAAATGAACAAAAATAACAGTCTCTGTGAGATTTAACAGACACTTTTCTTTCCCATGATTCCAAGTGAAATGACACGAAAGAGAACACATGATAGGCAGAACTTCAGATATATTTATCCTAGAGTGACACAGGTTAAAGACGCTAAAGGATTGATTTTCAAAGTATCTGAAAGAAAGAAAAATACAAATGCTTGATAAAATGATTATGGACTTTATTATTCTGAAAACAAGTTACCAAGAATATATCACCAACTGCTGTCCTTCTTTTCTCATCTTAACAAAACCTTTATGAGAATAATTTACATACATTAACGCTCTCCTTGCTAATGGTATGTGAAGGAAATAGGCAGAGTTTTGCAAATATAATCTCTTCGTTTTTCTTGCATGAATAAAAGAAGAACAGAAGGTACAGCAATGATTTATTGAAAATATTTGATTCAGTAAAACATATTGCAGCTTTGAAGACTGATCTAACAAAGAATCTCTCTTGTTTTTGTGGCCATATCACAAGACTCATTGATAGATCTGACATCAAAAATAAATTTCTACAGTGAGTGTTTCACATTAGGCAACATATAAAACAGATGAATGTTTCCCAGGTCTTTGCCACTAACCTGGAGGATATCCAACGAGAGTCCTGATGGGATTTCTTTATAAAATTCTCAGCTGTACCTTTTTGTGAGCGACATCATTACATCAAGCACCAAAACATTTCAGAGCCACCTAAATGGGATCCGTATTTTCTCAAGAGTCTCGCTTAACTATCCACAAGAAAAATCTAGTAGATGGAGAATATCTGTTGTTTAGGCTTCAATTATACAATTATACAGTTGGAGTATGTCAGTTAGCACTTATGTATTAGACAGATACTGAACAAAAAACTAGGCATAGATTTGAAGAGTAGGAAAGTAGAGTGACATGATTTGCCTTTTTGAAACTGTGCAGTGTAATGACAGCAGTCTCTTTCATGGGTTAAGTTCTTCTTTTTTCAAGAATTATTTAGTTTTGGTGACAGATTTGGAGTGCGTCACACCTATTGAATCATGGACTATATATAAGAAGTGGACTTTTCTTTCTTTCTTTCTCTTTTTTACATTTTATTAATTTGTTTTCATTTATCAACAATCACTTCCATAAGCTTTTGAGTTTTAAATTTTTCCCTCTCCCTCCCCATCTCCCTCCCCAAGACGGCGCACAATCTGATATAGACTATACATGTACATTCCTATTAAACATATTTTTACATTAGTGATGTTGTAAGAATTAGAACCAATAGGAGGAACTACCAGGAAGAGGAAATAAAACACAACAGAAGAAAAAAATAGCAAATAGTATGCTTCAATGTGCATTCAAACTCCATAGTTCTTTCTTCCTATGTGGATAGCATTTTCCATCATGATGCCTTTGGAGATGTCTTAGATACTTGTATTGCTGAGAAGGGTTAAGTCTATCAATATTAGTACCTAACTGATTATG